GATCTATTGATTGCAAGTTGTATCGGGGGAAGGAAAAACTTGTTTTTAAGAAAATTATATATAAAAAAAAAGAGTGACAGACATTCATCGGGGCGTAGAGTGATCATGAATTTACTAGCGTCATGCACAACCTCATGAAGGGTGAGTGAGGGTGATGAGGGGGAGATAAAAGGGCGAAAAGGGGAAAGGGAGGACGAGGATCACTTCTTCAGTTCCTTTGTTTTCCTTTTTTTTGGGCCTGAAATTGTTCATTTTGGGGTTGATTTCCTTTTTTTGGGCCTGAAATTGTACATTTTGGTGTTGTTTTCCTTTTTTTTTGGCCTGAAATTGTACCTTTTGGTGTTGATTTCCTATTTTTTGCGCCTGAAATTGTACATTTTGGTGTTGTTTTCCTTTTTGGGGGGCCTGAAATTGTACATTTTGGTGTTGATTTCCTTTTTTTGGGCCTGAAGTTGTACATTTTGGTGTTGACTTCCTTTTTTTGGGCCTGAAATTGTACATATTGGTGTTGATTTCCTTTTTTGGGGCCTGAAATTATTCATTTTGGTGTTGATTTCCTTTCTTGGGCCTGAAATTGTACATTTTGTTGTTGATTTCCTTTTTTTTGGCCTGAAATTGTTCATGTTGGTGTTGATTTCCTTTTTTTTGGCCTGAAATTGTTCATTTTGGTGTTGATTTCCTTTTTTTTGGGCCTGAAATTGTACATTTTGGTGTTGATTTCCTTTTTTTTGGCCTGAAATTGTACATTTTGGTGTTGATTTGTCCTTACCCTTGTTGTGTTGTCCTTGTTGAGAAAGTTTGGTGTGAGTTTTTTTTTGTGATTGATTTGACTTGATGGGAAAAAAACTAAGAATTCCTCAGGTGTTGCTGTTATTGTAGGTTTTTAAATTTATTATGACGTATATAGTGTATGATTTATGGATTTTTATTTCATTTGGTCCAGGTATATTGAATATTTCATTCTGATAACATGTGTGACTGATTATTAGGTTTTCTATAGATTGCAGGTTTTGGTTGCATATTGCTATAGATTCTGAAATGCATTATCGAAAATTATCATTATAAAATTATATGTATACCAGAAATTTGATTGGTTTAATTCACCAAAGGTTTTATTAATGAGAAGAGTGAATAGAAAGATGAAAAAATGTTTTGTTATTACTAAGTATAGATAGATAAAAAATACCTATCATACCCCTTTTTTAATTGAATATAGATAGTGTTTTGATAAGTACATGATTGATAAGACTGAAATATCTAGAAAATGCAAAGATTGATATACACTAGTTAGAATTGGTAATCATATATTTTTTTCTGCGTTTATTTGTTTTTTCTTTACATATGGTTGTTTGAGATATTATTTATAAGTGTTTTTTCTATGTAAATATAATCTATATTAGTTCTGGAAAGTATGAGCTGGCCTTTTTATAAATGGAACATATGAGAGAATATAAGTAAGAAAAAAAATTTGCAGACCAGATTGATTTTAGTTTTTTTATTTCTAATCTTTAAGTCTATTGAAGTCTATTGAAGTACTTATGCACATCAGTGATATATGTTCTTTCTGTTATTCCTTGCCTTCGTTGCCTGTGATTTATTGATGATCTCTCATATTAACCTTAACTTTTATCCCCCTAATTTTTATTTTTCTCTAAACATGTGTCTTTCTCTCATTTTTACCCAGTCCCTTATACTGTTAACAAATGCTCGTCTGTGATGTAGGTAGTTGTATGCTATTTTCATAGTTTATGATTCAATGACTTGTTATGAATGTGTCAAAGCTTGGTATTTCCTTGACAAAGCCTTGATATACGAGTCCAACCATATAAGTAAACGCTTGTATTTCATTTGTTATCTATATTTGTCACTCAGATTGTACTGATATTTGAAGGAAAGAAGTGAATGTCATATCAGGAAGATAAGAACTCTTCAGTAAATTTCTTTCAGTTAGTAATTAAGAAGAGTTATCAAAATCACATTTTAGTCCAGTAGCATAAGAATTTGTATAACCCGCGGTGGTCTTAGTAACGGTGTGCTATGACTATTACATATGATCCTTGATTATGAAATCAAATATAGTATGGTAGTGCCCTTGGGTGCTTTGTAAACACTTCCTTGTTTTTCTGTGGGGAATATTTTGATGAGGATATAGATTTTCATTAGTGGTATGCTGTTTTTAAAGAATGGAGATACCTTTTTTGGAGATACATCTTTTTTCAGGATATTTTATAATTTCATGCTTTTTGGAGTTACACTGAAACAAAGAAAAAACATGTTTTGAACATGTCATTGAATCACCACAAGCATCACATTAGTTCCTTATGTGAAAGACAGTCTAGAGTACCTAAAAATCAACTGATGAGGAATATGGAAAAAACAAACAAGCAAAAAATACACCACCTTGCACAAAGAACAAAGAAACAGATGTTGCTCAAAGACAGATGATGACCTTCAGGGAGAGAGGGTATGGGTAGGGGGAGGGGGAGGGGGGAGTCACCTA